AATGTCATTCTAAGTGAAGTAAGCCAGAAAGAGAAAGAAAAATACCATATGAGATCGCTCATATGTGGAATCTAAAGACTCATGGACAGAGAATACAGACTTGCGGTTACCAGGGGGGTAGAGGGTGGGAAGGGATAGACTGGGATTTCAAAATTGTAGAACTAGATAAACAAGATTACACTGTATAGCACAGGGAAATATACACAAAATGTTATGATAAATCACAGAGAAAAAAATGTGACAATGAGTGTGTATATGTCCATGAATGACTGAAAAGTTGTGCTGAACACTGGAATTTGACACAACATTGTAAAATGATTATAAATCAATAAAAAATTAAAAAATAAAAATAAAAAATAAAAGGCAAGCCACCAGGAAAAATACTAACCACATGACAGAAGACAATTAATGTCATCAATATAAAGTCCTCATACTGACTGATAAGAGAACCACTAAAATCCCCACGGAAAAATGAGTAAAAGAACTGACAATTTATAAAAGAAGAAATCCATACACAAAAAAATCTAGTGAACACTTTGAAAACTTCCTGAACCTCACTAGCAATTAAAACAAGAAGATACCATCTTCCATCTTCTGAATTAGGGGGGAAAATGTTTTATCCTTATTCCTTGGTGTTGGGCGCAGCTACCCTGAAACAGTCTGACAAATGCTTCTGGCAAGTTTAAACACCCAAAACATTTTGGAAAACAATTTGAAGAGTTGCCCACCCACTCCATGTGTTTAAAATAACCTAGGAACTCCACTTCCAAAAACTTAATCCAATGGGGCGGGTGAGGGGAACGAATCAAAGATGCAGACAAAGATATACACACCAGAGCGCTTTCTGCAACATTTTAATAGCAAAAAATGGAAAACAACCTAAATTTCAGCCAAAATATAACCATTAGCAAAATTCTAGCTTTGTGAATTGGGAACATACCACTTTTTTTTTTCAATTTAAAAACTTTTAAAAACTATTTCCAAGCACAGGTTCTTGGTTTATGTCCAAGCATGTGCAGTCCAGAACCACTGAAACTTGCCCTGCAAAGAGTGGTCTTTGGAGTTAGGTGAGGATTTCCTTTAAGAAGGCTCTCCCAGAACGCAGTTCTGGGGGGTCTGAAGTGTTAGCTAAAATCCCTGTCTCTTAGCTCCTCTTCTACCAAAGGGAATTCCATTGGTTGATTCAAAAGACACAGTCAAACCTAAACCACAGCTCCAATCCCTGCTCAGAAGCCCTCAGTGGCTGCTCACAACCCATAGAAGGAAATCTCAGTGCTCTGAGTCCTCAGTCCCGCAGCCACAGCCTGGACCGAGCTTGCCTCTCCTCACTTTCCCACTTCATCCTTCTTACACCCCGGCTCGCACACACACCTGTCCCTACATGTCAGGCCCCAGCCAGCAAGCCCCACGTGCTCAGGGAGCCCTCTGTCCCCACTGCATCCCTGGCACCCAGCATCAGCCTGATAAATGGTCAAAAGCTGATAAATTTCCCTTCGTGTTTTTCAAGTTCCGCTCCAACGCTGCCTCCTCAGAGAGCCTTTGGTCCTGACCAATAGCCAGGAGCGGGTACCTGAACCACCAAGTGGCCTGTCTGCCCACACCCTGGTGTGAAACCTTCCCCTTTCACACTGGGAGCCTCAGCAGACTGTGCACACAGCTGGGGCTCAGTAAACGCTGAGGCCCCCTCCACTGGACCTGAGGGGTCCGTAGGGAGCACGGTCCGGGGAGGAAGATGGGGTATTTTGTTTCACAGAGGATGGAGCGAAGGCTGGAGAGGCACATATCCAATCAGCACCCAGAGACGAGAGGAAAGATTGGGGTATGGAAGCAAGGCTTCAAGGAGCTGACGGCCAGAGAGGAAGCAGTGAGGACAGCCCTTAGGGGCCCCAGCAGGGGCCCCAGGACACCACATCTGGTTCCAACAGGCTGCTATCCTGCCCTGAAACTACAGCCAAGCATTCTGGACACAAATATGGGTTATGAATCAGAAATGACATCAGCCTGGCAGGTGGCTTTGTGTTAAGTCCCATCCGTGTCCTGAGCCTCAGTTTCTCCAATTGTAAGACAAAGGGCGAATCAGATGAGCTCTCAGCTCTCTCTATGAGATATCTTTGGAAGCCTAAGCATGACCCAGCAAGGGAGTGAGAAAGTTGGAGAGAGAGAGTGTGAACTGTGTCTGAGCTGAAGCCCCAGGCAACACCTCACATGTCTTCACAGTTCCCCCAACCTGGTTGCTCCTGACTCCCAGGTGGGAGCTGTCCTTTTGATGTTCCCAGAAATCTTTTTCTAGACCCCTGGCATCTGGGCTTTGAGCTGCAGAGCCCTGCAGAGCCCCTCAGAGCCCAGAACTCCCAGCAGCAGACGGATTCCACACTCAGCCTAGGGGCTCCATGGAATAATGCCACACGCACTGTTGCCCATCTTTCAAATATCTGTACTGACGCTGTGATTAATAAAGGAAAATTCTTCTAGAAGGGCTTACTACCTCATACAGCCTCGGGTCATTGATACCTTCTCAGCACAAGAACACTTCGCAGTACAATTCTGCAAGGATTCTGCCATTTTTATTTTGGGGGCTTTCTAAAGCTATCCTGGATAGAGAGGTGGACAGATGGAGAGACGTGATAAAACAGAGTAAAATTAACCGTAGGATCTAGGTGGTGGGCAGGCAGGTGTTCATGTACCCGCCCCCAACACACACACCTATTCTGCTGTAAGTCTAAAGTTTTCCATCAAAAATGCTGGGGAAAAAGCAGTCCTGCCACTCAGAAAGTTGGGAGTCTGAGCTCGCTGGGCAGCTTCCTTGAAACGCCCCACAGTGCGGTCTTCCAGGAGCCTTTTCTAGGACATGTCCCTAACACTGAAAGACAGGAGGCTGCAGGCGATGACGTGCCAACTGCCGGGGAGAAGGAGGCAGTGAGGGGACCTGCCAGTGAGAACAGGGCAGGTGGAGGCTACCTGGCTCGAGAAGAGCTGCCCTTTTCCTACCGAGAACAGGTGAGGGGCAGGACGCGGCACGGGTGAGTTCGCCCGCTTTGCGGGGCAGTGGGAGCGCTTCTGGCCCCTGAAACCCACGCTGCGAGAAAAGTTTAAGAATTAATGAAAAGCAAAACCGCAAACCCCGCAGAGGCGCATGCGGGTCAGGCCCTGGACACGAAGGCTCCATTGCAACCTCTCGGCAAGTTTGGGAGGCAGTTCACACCTCGTTTCATAAATGGGGAAAGTGAGGTTCCAGACGGTTCGGTCACTTGCTGAAGTCGCACAGCCAGGAGGTAGCTTCACCGCATTTGCCCCCGTCTCTATGGCACTGGCCTGAGGAACGCAAGCCGGGAGGCGCACGGGAAGGGAAAGCAGGTTCGGGGGCGGGGGGGGAGGAAGGGGCAGCCACAAGGCCTGCCCCAGGTGCCCGGGGTCAGGCAGAGTGAATGCACCGAGAAGGCGTCCCCGCGGGGCCGCAGTGCAGCCGGCGAGGGCCCAGGTGCGCCGGGGGCGCAGCGCGGGAGGGTGAGCGCACCGGGCGAGGGCGCCAGGCCGGGGACGCGGGGGACGCGGGGGGCGCGCGGGGGGCGCTACCTGGGTCGTGGAAGGGCACCAACGCGTAGTTGCCGATGGCCTGGCTGCCGCGGCTCAGGCTGCGCTCGAGAATACGCGAGGCGCCGTCCATCACCTGCATCAGGTCGTCCCACATGGAGCCGGTGACGTCGAAGACGATGGCCAGAGTGGCGTCCCCCGTGGTAGGGGACAGGGGCGTCCCGGGCGCGCCCGCCGCCGCAGCTGCCGCCGAGACCGCCATCAGCAGCCGCAGGAGCGGCGTCCGGGGCATCATGCTGAGCGCGGCCGAGGGGCTGCGCCTGCCGCTGGGGAGGCGCGCAGGTCCTTCCGAGCGCGACGCCCTGGTGCGCCTAGCGGCCGCCCGACGCGCGGCTACCGCGCGACGCCTCGCTCCGTCGGGCCGTGGCCGGTGCGCGCAGGACGCGGGCTCGCGGCGGGGTCCCCCTGCTGGGAGCCCGAGGCGGGTCCTAGAGCCCACCCCGTTCAGGGTCACGGGCCCGCCTCCTCCGCTCCCCTCCACCGTGACTCAAACTTTCCCGGCCCCGCTGCTCGCCAGTCCAGACCCGAGGTTAGGGGAGGACGCGGGGCGGACGGCAGAAGGGAGCTGGGCCCGCGGCCAAAGCAGCGAGGGATGGATGCACCGGCAGCACTGGACACCTGCGCCTCCCGGCGACCGCGCGCCCGGCTGCGGAGGCGGGAAAGGGAGGGGGGACACCACGGCCCCTGCCCTGGAGGGCCGCCCACGGACCCTGATTTTTGTGGCTTCCTCCACCCAGCCCCCTAAAAACTCCCCGACACACACACACACACACACACACACACACACACACACACACACACGCTGCAACTGCCTTTCTTTCCGCGGGGATCTGTGCTTCCCAGTAACTGCTATTATAATCAAGCAATGTAGGTTGAGCAGCTACTATGTGCTAAGCGTTTTCACACAGTTATCATTTCCTTGAATGCTCGCTGCAACCCTAGATGGGGGCACTAACATGAAACCCATTTTACAGATGAGCAAACTGAAGCTCAGTTGTTTGCCCAAAGTCACTCAACTCTCAAGTAGTAGAGACTTGATTAGAAGCCAGGTCTAGAAAACCTCCCAAGTCCCTGGCTGTGCTGCCACCCCTGAGTGTTCCAAGACATTGTCATAGGTCATCTGATGACTCCAGAGAGTGGGGGCAGCCCCTCTGCCCACCTGCCTCGCCAGATCACATGGATTACACATGAGGGTTCTGGGAGACCCAGGAGGTGCTATTGGTGCTTCCTGGGTCCGTATGGTCACCTTCTCCCAGACAGTGCTCCCTTCCACCATCTGGAGAGGGTCAGGTACCCCACCATTGCTTGTCCCAGGCTGTGCTCTCCTGGCTTATTTCTACACCTCTCTCCCTACTTGAGCCCCCTGAGGGTGAGGCTGCATCTTGGTTCCCCCATCAGCTCCAGTTCCCAGCACAGCCCTTGGCATATGGTGGGGACTCACTCAATACTGCCTAAATAAAGGAAGAAGAGACAGCTTTTGTGGGTCTGCCTGGTTTTGAGAGCTACGGGAGAGGGGCCAGCTCGGTCCTCTTACACTTCAGTCCCTCCTCTGGGAAGATCATGCTTCCGGGACAGGGACAGGCAGCCCCGTGGACATGGCTGAAAGCTCTGGGTCTGTATGTTGGTGGGTGGGGGGTGGATTTCTCCAGCCCCTGCCCTCCCAGAGCACTTAACCAGGAGGAAGCCCTCCACACTCACTCTATAACTGCTCCCTTCTCCATCTCAGCTCAGACCCCACCTCTGAGGCTACTCTCGCCCTGGGAACCCCCCCCTCAGCCCCTGTCTGACCCCTTGTCCTCGCACTGACCACACTGTGTCACCAGTGTCACCCTGCCCCTCCCACCCTGACTGTGAGTTCTGTGGGAGCAGAGACCTGGTACCTGCACGTGGTCAGTGCCTGATGAAGATTTCCCACATAAATAGGTCAACAGGTGTCAGAGAGGCCTGGTGGCTGGGCACTGGCCATGGAGGGGAGGCAACACACATCTTCAGGGACTCAGTTCTAGACCAGGGCAAGGCCCTTTTGTAAGAAGGCCTGGGGTCTGGGGGAAATGGTCTCCAGGTTGCTGCCTGTCTCACGGTATATGTGGGGGCCAAGCACTTAGACCAGGTCACAGTAGAACTCACAGTCGAGCTCATGGGAAGTTGAGTCACCTGTGCTTCTGAACACTGGCTCTTTAAATCTCCCTGGGCTAGCTGCGGCCGGCCCCAGGGTCTGGGCAGGGCTGGGCCAGCTGTTGGAGAGAGAAGAGAGGCCCCAGCTGTGGGAAGGCAAAGGCAAAAAGGAGCCAGGAACCAGACAGGGCTCACAGACGGTGACATTTCAGGCAACATGCAGGGGATCTTTGAGGACAGACCTGCCTTCGGTCATTCACTCTGCAAATACTGGCCAAGGCTAAGCGGGGTTTCCAGCACTCTGCTAGGCACTGCTGGGGGAGGGAGGACACACAGATGTGTCAAGCAGGCGTCCCACCCTGGGGGGAAGAGACATGTAAACAAATAATTCTAAGTCAATGAGGTAAGTGCTAATAGAGGAATTACCGAGAACTCTGGGAGCTCACAGGAAGGAGTGGCTGAGCCTAAGGGGTCAGAGGAGGTCACAGATTGAGCCTGAGAAGCCTTTAAGAACAAGAGGGGAAAGGCATCCGAGGAGAGGGAACAGCATCTGCAAAGGAAGGAGGACACGAGAGACCCACTGCCAGCCCACACGGCCGGAGGGTGATGGCAGACTGTAAAGCTCTACAAGTCTTTACAGAGGGCATGGAATTTCTGCATAGGCACTGGGGAGCTATTGAATGTTCAGCTGGAAACAACCTGCTCCAATCTGCATTTCAGAAAGGTCACAGCAGCAGCAGTTCAGAGTAGAGCCTGTAGATGTCAAGAAGCCATAAACCTCTTCCCCAAGGACCTGAGCCAAAGAAAGCAAGAAAACAAATGTGACCATGAATTTGAGTCCCCAGATGGCCTTGCGAACTAGAGTGAGGCCCTCACCCTCTCTGGCTCTTGGTTTCCCCATTTGTAGAATTACTAGAGATGGAAGGGGGCTGATAAGATGACCCCAATGGTTCTTGTAGCCCCATCATCTAGGACCACCTCCGGGGTCCCTTGGAGACACAGCAAGGATGAGAGGGAACGTCTGAGCTCATTGTGGCAAAGCCGCCCCCTGTTGCCATGGAAGGGAGCCTTGGGCAGGCACCGTCATCCCACCCAGGACGGCCCAGCTGAGCCTCTCCAGGGGGCCCATGGGCCCCAAGAATGTAACTGTGGTCACCCCAGTGACAAGACCCACAGTCCCAAGCTGAGCACAGAAGGCCAGAGAAAACACAACCCAACTTCATCAATCAATTCCCATCCCACCACTTCGACGTTATGAGCCGCCTGGGAGCCCACATTTTCTGAACTCAAGATAATCCACATTTTTCCCCCATTTCCAGAAGAAGCGATCTCAGGGGAGTTATTTGTTTCCTAACATATCACATGTTTGCTATGGAGAACACCGTGGGTCTGGCCCATCCACTTAGAAGAAGCATGCACTGTTACGGCTGACCCGGCCACACTCAGCCTTGGCTTGGAAATCCAGTGATGTCCACTGTGTCTACATGGGGATCCAAGACCAGCTGAGGGGCTGGATCAGAACCCAGGGCCCTAGACACTTGGCTGGTCAAAGAAAAGCAGCCCCTCCCTTCCTTCTGCTTCCTCATGTCTCACCCCCTAAATGCATCCTAGTCTCGCCCACATTAAAGCCTCTGTGACTCTAACACCCGCCTCTCACCTCATCCCACTCGAGTCCTCTTCCTAAAGGAAACTGCTCCGTTCCCCTGAAAGAGTACAACTCTAAAGATGGGTAGCATTTGCCCAGTCCTTACTGAGTGCCAGACCCTCTGCAGAACGCCTCCTCCTTAGATTTCCTCTAATGACCGCCGAGGTCAGTATCTACCCTTCATGTGACAGATGGGGAAACTGAGGCTCAGAGCGGGGAAGTCCTGTGTCCAGGCCGGACTTTGCATTCACACCTGCCTTTCTCCAGGACCTGTGATCAGCTCCTCCACCCAACGCTGCCTTAGAAACGGGGCGGGGCGTGATTTGTACAGGACTCCCACCAATCTAGAGCTGATGTGGGGGGCAGCTCCTCGGGCTGGACTCGGACTCAGGTTTCAGACACTCGGCACCTCTGAAATGCCCTCAAGTCAGATCCTACCCATCCTCCTGGGGAAAATGAGAGACAGAGAGAAGCCACCGTGTAGACAAACAGGCAGGTCTGCCTGTCATTCTGTGATCCCACCCCCAGGGCCTGAGAAGTAGAAGCAGCCTCAAAGCCTTGCTTCTCTCTTCTAGAAGGAATTGAAGAATTAAGCAAGGGCCCGGGGGAACAGGACTCGTGGGGAGTCGAAGGAGCTGACAAACAACTGGGGAAGATGGAGCTATTGAGGATAAAGAGGAGGAGCCAGGGCATCAGGATCTGCAGAACCGTGTGCTGGCTCCCAGCAGCCAGCACTTGAGTGATTTACTGCTGAATCCAATCCCTCTGCGGGACCAGCCTCCAAATCACATGTACCATAAGGAATGGTTTGAGATGGTCCCAAGAAATACTTAAGCGGGTCAAGAGTTACAAGAACTGTTGCTCATCCCCACGTTTGCAAGAACAAACAATTCAAAGAGCTAAACCAGAACCAAGAGCTTGAAGACTCGCTTCCCATCGCCCAGACCTGGCCCACTCTCTCCTGGATGGAACTCATGTGTCACTGAGCTCCCCATGCTGTCGTCAGAGGAGAAAGATCTCGCCTCATTGGCAGGGGTCACTGCTCACTGCACTGTAATACTAAGCCTTGTTGTCACTTATGGCCATGATGTCACCTTTATCATTATCATCTGTGGCTGGCAGCAAAGCCAGAACGAGTTGAAGTTTACTGTCTGTCTCTTTTACTCTCTTGTTCATTCTCTCTCTTTCTCTCTCTTTCTTCCCATAATTAAAAATTCCACTGAACTTCTTTGTACATTTTGGCAGACACTGTTAGCTTCTTACCCTAAAGTTTTCCCTGCATCTTCCTGGAAAGCCTGGCTTTCCACCCTGACTTTCTGCTTCAGGCGTCTACCCTTCTTCCACATGATTGGAGGAGGAAGTGACCCATTCCCCTCTCCAAGGGAAATTCTGATTGGTTAGATCATGCCTGTGGTCCCATTCTCCTGGCCAGTGGTTGGGCTGGAAATGGGCATTTGATGCAGATCTGGCCAATGGGACATGAAGGAAACTGTGCTAGTGTGTCTCCAGATGAGATACAAAAGAACAAGGTCACAGGACTTACACTACCTGATTTGAAGCCTTATTGTAAAGCAATGGTAATTAAGACAGGGAGGGACAGGCAAAAAGGAAGATAAATTGGCAAATAGAACAAAAAAGAGCCCTGAAATAGATCTGCAAGTACAATTGATTTTT